TGCTGGTCGACCAGCATGCGCCCTCCTTATCTGTGTCCCTTGATACACCCTTGGAGGTCATAGCCATCTATGTTTCCTTCGGTCATACCATCACTGTTTGTTCTCTCTACCTGGGGAGACTTATGATCCATCAGAACTTGATGCTCTCATTGACCAGTTGCCATCTCCCTTTTTGCTTCTGAGACTTTAATGGACACAACTCCCTTTGGGGTGGTGCTAATATTGATGGGAGGGGTCATTCCATACAGCCTATGCTCTCGGATCATGACCTTTCTCTCTTCAATAGTGGAACATATACTTATTTTCATGCACCTAGTCAGTCTTTTACTGCCATTTATTTCTCAGTTTGCTCCCGTACACTTTTCACTTGCTTTTCTTTGATGATCAACAGTGACCCAAGGAGCAGTGATCATTTTCCTATCATTATGAGGGAGGTTGGCCATGGTCGATGCCACCCGACCTGAATGCCACGGTGGAAGTTGAACCAGGCTGACTGGCCATCTTTCACCTCTCTTTCCAAACTTGATCCTGCCTTTGTCTATCTGCCATCAATAGATGACTGTGTGGTTGCAGTGACTGACTGTATCATCCAGGCAGCTGCTCCTTTTATTCCTAAGACCTCGACACGTTTTCCATAGTATCCTTGTCCGTGGTGGAGTCCTGCCTGCCAGGAGGCGTGAAAGGCTCAAAAATGTGCCTGGGATACCGATGATATCCCTCTTTTTCTAACTGCATTGTTTATCAGCAGGCCCGTGCCCATGCTCTGCAGGTTTGACATCAAACCCAAAAGGAGTCTTGGATTAAGTTCACTACTAGCATCTCTTCTACCACCAGTTCCAAAACTGTATGGGACAAGATTTGGAAAGTTACTGGGAGGTATGCTTCCCATCCCCCTTTCCATCTTTCTCTCCAATGGCCAGGAAGTTGCTGATGTCCAGAGCATTGCTGATACTCTCGGCCACAGCTTTTCTTGTGCTTCTAGCACTTCTCTTTCTTCCGCTGCCTTCTTAGCCGTCAAGTCTCAGGCAGAGCGATCTCCTCTTTCTTTTCGGGCCGATCGTCTCTGTGACTATAATTGCCCCTTTACACTGGTGGAACTCAAACTTGCTCTTCATCGGTCTAGTAGTACATCAGTCGGACCTGATGATGTTCATTATGAAATGCTGCGCCATCTCTCTTCTGCCTCTCTTGCTATTCTTCTGGTTATTTTTAACCGGATTTGGCAAGAGTATGTTTTTTCTGATGCTTGGCGCCAGGCTATTGTCCTCCCTTTCTCTAAACCTGGGAAGGATCCCAAGATTTCTTCTAATTATTGTCCCATCACTTTGATCAGTTGTCTTTGTAAGGTTTTTAGAGAGGATGGTTAATGCTCGTCTTGTTTGGTTCCTCGAATCGAACATGCTCCTCTCGTCTACCCAGTGTGAGTTCCATCAACAGTGCTCCACCATGGACCACCTGATTCAACTTGAAACGTCTATCAGGGAAGACTTATGACACTACGTGGAGGTATGGCATTTTGCAGGACCTCCACTCCTATGGGTTGCGTGGCCATTTACACATTTTTATTCAAAACTTTCTGCTGAACAGGCGATTCCAAGTCCGTGTGGGTTCAACTCTTTCCCATTCCTTTCCACAGGAACTTCGAGTCCCTCAGGACTGTGTCTTGAGTGTCACACTTTTTAGTGTTAAAATTAATGCCATCACTAATAATCTTCCTCTGACTGTTGCAAATGGTCTCTATGTTGACGACTTCCACATCTCATCGAACATGAGGTTTATTGAGCAGCAGCTTCAGACTGTCCTCAATTGGTTGTTGACATGGACCAATGCAAATGGTTTTAAATTTTCTTTTTCCAAAACCGTTTGCATGCATTTTTGCTGCCAACGGGGTCTCCACCCCGATCCCGAGCTCCGTCTGGGTGTTATAGTTCTTTGTGTGGTCCCTGAGGCAAAGTTCTTGGGGCTCATCTTTGACCATAAGCTTAACTTCATTCCACACATTAAGCAGCTTCGTGTCAAGTGTGCAAGGGCTTTGAACATCCTTCGTGTCCTCTCTTCCAGATCTTGGGGTGCGAATCGATGTTCTATGCTCAGGATCTATCGTACCCTGATTTGATCCAAACTGGACTGTGTCTTTGGTCTATGGTTCTGCCAGGACTGCGGCCTTGAAGATGCTGGACCCCATTTACCATCTGGGGCTTCGGCTCTGCTCCGGGGCTTTTCGCACTTCTCCAGTCCACAGTTTGTACACTGAGTCCCACGAACCTCCTCTTCACCTCTGTCATTTGCAACTTTCTTTACAATATGCTACCAAGCTTTGATCCTTACCACGGCATCCCACCTGGGATTGTCTTTTTTCCTCAGTATGCCATGCTCTTTTGGAACAGACAATCTGCTATTCCTCCCTTTGGCCTTCGTATCCAGGCACAACTGGCTCAATTGGGTCTGGCATTGGATGACATTGCTGTCCCCAATGATCAGCCCATTCCACCATGGCTTATTACCATTCTTTCCTGTGACCTTTCCTTGAGTCATTTGAAGGAGGCGGATACTCTCGATGGGAAGTACCATCTTCTTTTTATTGAACATCTTTCGAACTATTCTTCTCTTCCTATTTACACGGATGGTTCGAAATTGGGTGACTGTAGGTTCTGCCATGGTGTGCTGTGGCTCGGTAGTTGCTCGCAGGATCCCCTGTACAGATTCTTTGTTCACTGCCGAGTTGTATGCTATTTATCTTGCCCTGGATCATGTAGAAGCTATGTAGTACAGTAATTGTACTGTTTACACTGATTCTCTTAGCTCTCTACTGGCCCTGGAATCGCTTAACGTTAGTTCTCACCCTGTTCTCGTCAATATTCAACACTGACTGGCCCACTTTTCTCTATCTTTTGTGTCCATCCAGTTTTTCTGGATGCCTGGCCATGTTGGTATTCAAGGGAATGAGCTCGCTGACACCGCAGCTAAGTCCGTCTACTCTGGTGGCGTCACGGCCATGCCTGTCACATACATGGACTACGGTCTTGTTTTCAAGGCGCGGCTTCATGCCAGTTGGCAGTCAACTTGAGGTGAATAACGTCATAACAAGTTTTTCTAGATCAAACCTTCTGTTGGCCCTTGGCCGTCTTGCTTCCGTAAGAATCGGAAGGAGGAAGTAGTCCTGGCAAGGCTATGCAATGGTCACAGTTTTTTAACCCATCGTTTTCTTTTATCTGGTATTGACCCACCGATGTGACACTTTGTGCCATAAAGCACCAAACAACCAACCAATCACTGAAGTGAAAGATGTGGATTATATGTGAATTACCAATGACTCATTTTGAAGCTCATATTTAAGTTGCTTGTGCTCTAAGTGAAAGACCCACTTCCTGGAGGCTTATTATGGCTTAATCAGCCTATGGGAGCAACAGCCTACCAGATACATTTTCAATTTCATAGTAAGCTATTCTGCACTTTTTACTAGTCCCGTGTTGGCTCAGTGGTAAGCTTAAAGGGTTGTAATGCTAAAATCTGGTGTTTTAATCCCTGCTATGGACACAGGACACGCATATCCCTTTGTGTAGCTCTGTGCTTAACAACTGATTGAATGATTTATTATTCAATAAGATATGTTCAGTAACTTGCTTTATAGATCTGATGTTTGAGAACTTTTAACAGTAATATTTATGGATAAAATATATTACAGGATGTTGTGTTAGATGGTAGCAGCTCTTGTTTGCTGTATGGATATGGTGGGTTTAACATCAGCATCCAACCAAGCTTTAGCGTGTCACGCCTGATGTACATGCAACATCTTGGAGGAATTCTGGCTGTAGCAAACATTAGGGGAGGAGGGTAAGTAGTAGTGTGAATGGTGAAGATATTCGCACAGTTATCTGTGAGATGGAATAAGTTTAGTTTCATTAAAAAATGATTACCCTTTCAAGGGTTCTGTCGATGAAACAATTGAAAAAGTTTCAATTGTTTTATATTAACTGATATACTGTAGCCTTATGTAGTACTCTGGTTAATGATAAAAAAATAAGTACATAAAGCTAATGGATGTTATTATATGAGAATAATATAACTCCACAGCCTCACCTTTTTTTTCATGATCTGTTAATTTTCTAGTTATTTCTCTCTTTTAAACTTACCAATAAATCTAAAGGTAAATGAAATTACAAGTTATGTTAAGTTTTCTTTTTTAGATTTATTGTATTTATCCATTTTGTTTCACACTTGGAGGAAAATTTTTCCTTTTGTGTTATCCTGGATCGCAGAATCTCACTGACTTTGAGCAATCTTTAGACATAATATCAATCAACTTTGGTATTGGATCAAAGTTTTGCATGTAAGGACAAAATGAATTAAAATTACAAGAGCACACTATTCAAACTTATCTGTTACCCTACTTGGGCATTTTTTTGTGTCATAAAGCTAGACCAAAATGTCAAAGGTTAAAGTAACATATAGATAAAAGTATTTTTTTTGTTCAGTTTGCTCTTGAACCTAAACAAGTCTTAGGCCATAAGCTTGTTTTAAAGTACAAGATGGCTCATGGTCAATGGTAAAAGTTACATAGAAATCAGCTTAATTTTTTGTTTTTGATTTGTCGTACATTGCTGTAGGAAGCAACATTTGAGTGGTCAGGCCATTGCCACAGCTAAATAATGTGACACACAATCTATGAAAAGCATGCTATTTCTAGGATGATCTGGTCTGGACATGCCCCCTGAAAAGTTTTTAAAATTTAATGCTATGAGATTGAATCTTCAAATACTATGTACACACAATGTAATGTATTGAATTAATAGAAGCAAGTTTTAATACATAAGTTGTAGCTTAATACATGCCATGAAAAAGTGGTCAAGCCATGACTTGACTGTTCTTACCACTACCTACAGCCCTGTCATACTTGTCTAACTTGTACATTAAACTCAAAATGACCATAAGGTTATTGCTTAAGGTTTCATAAAGATTAGTCATTTTACTGTATATTGATTGTCAGTTTTTGACTGATGATAATAAGTTGGCATTTGTATTTGTTGGAATTAAGTATGTGTTATTAATTTTCATGTACTTTACTCTCTGCAGTGTTGTTTGCTTTATGGAAAAAACTTTCAAGATTTAAACAAAATTGCTAATGGCAGCTGAAGTTTTAATATGTATTTCCATGAATGAACCAATGGATTTATAGTCATTAATTATTTGAAACTAATTAGCTTAAAGAATTTTAACCAAGATAAACTATACGTGTATCAAACAGCTGAATTGAGGCTGTTATTTAAAAATAATTTGAAACACCTTTCAAAAATCTAGTTGTGCCTATCTTAAATATTTATTTATTAGTATTTAACAACATTAGCTGTTTTTTCTGAGATTTGTTATTGAATGGATCTTCATACATTTATGTTCTAGTTATTTTTGGAAAATTTATTTGTTGGATCTTAAGCAAAGGATAATATTATTTATAAGAATTGAAAGTATGATTTCAAATGAAAGTGTTTAATGCTGTTAGTTTACTATAACGTAGATAATCGCCATGATATTTGTTGCTATAAAAATAAAATATTTTCACGTCTCATAGATTTGATTTTACACTTATTTAATTATTCTCTGAGAAATGCACATCACTGTATTGTTTTAATTATTGAAAAAAAGTTCTGAAAAACATGTTCAGTAATAGCTGTAAAAGTAAAATAAAATACAAAAGTGAAAATAATTTCTCTTTAATTTGTATCTCTAGTTCATCATCTTTCATTTTCAAATTTAGAGAATATGGAGAAACCTGGCATGATGGAGGAAAGTTGCTTAACAAACAAATTGTTTTTGATGATTTTCAAGCTGGGGCAGAGTATCTAATTAAAAACAGATATACCAATAGTAAAAAGTAAGTAAATAAATAAAAACATGTACTTAAATGAAAATGTGGTCCTAGGTTTAAATTAATACATAATTAAAGGATTAAGGATTTTTGCTATAATGGTAGTAGTTAATAAGAATTTTGGTTGCATCAGAGAAATTTCATATATATATATATATATATATATAT